GGGGGGGGGGGGGGGGTCGAAAGGAACAGTGCACCTCCACGGACATTAATGAAATACACGACAATTTTTTAAAAAAATGAATGATTAAGCTTAACAAGATGCACGCGGTCAGTTATGGTACAGCTATTCACGAATATTACAATATCCTTTGTCAATAAACTCGGAAAATCAGGCACCTAAGGAAACCATAATTGCAGCGACAGCCGGTAGAACAGGTGCGCGGGGCTAGCACTACAACTACTCATCAGATCGCGAGTATCTTCATAATGCTCCTTGCTCACGCATTTTCGACTAATAATGCATTTGTGTGTACAAGCTACCTCACAATCTTTACAATCTTGATATTGTTGGCCTCGCTATTTCTTAATCTGTAAGTATCGTCAGTTACTTAAGAATTAAATATAATCATTGGTCGTAATTTTAAAAATCTAGGGGAGGGATGGCACCTTTCCCGCACACACACAAACCCCTTCCGCCAAAGACGTCTTTGTTGGCCGTGAGAGCCATTCCACGGACGAATTCAAAAGCTCCTCTAATCCTCGACAACAACGGCGGAAGGAATCTTCCTTCGCTGAGTCCAACAGCTCCCTCAACGGGAGGAGCCGCTCGCAGCATCCGGAATCGCGCAGGGCCGGAGCGGGATTCGAACGCGACCCTCGGGGTGGAAGGCGATGTCCCAAGCGCGTGGGAGCCGAAGTAGAAAAACGAACGAGGGGACAGTGCGGGACGCAGGGGCGCCCTCTGCTCGCTCGCCCCCGCTTCCGCTTCCGGGGCGCGGGCGGCGGCCGGACATCCGCCGAAAATACCCCAAAATTGTGTTGCGCGGCGTTCTCTACTTGTTATGCAAGACTAATGGGATGTCAGAGGTTAACATGGTACTGACAATGTAACTGAAATGCTGTCTTTTCATGAATGGACTTGGATGTTGCAGTGAACTACAAGAGAAAATCTTTCTACCCATATTAACTGAAAGTCATAATGCATCACGTATATAATGACTGAAAATGTTTTGTAATGAGACACGTGTGTTAAGTGACAGTTTGATATTGCGTTTGTGGTATATACAGTCACCGATCTTTACATTTTAAAGCACTCATTTATCTTCCAACTTAAAATAAATTCACTATATTTACTCCCTTTCTCCATACTCGCCCTCTTATACACTGAAAGCGGCAGGCTCGGTCTCCTCTCAAACACTTCGCATCTTATCGCACTGGTTACAACACAATATTTGTATTGCTTGTTATGATTTCTTATTTAGTGCTTCAGTTGACCATAAGCGTACAAATCATTGCCTACACTGACCTAACAGTGAGGAAGTAGCCTTAATTGACGCTATGCAATCATGAATGGATTGATGTAAGCGCTTGCGTGAGGTTGGTCGGGGAGGGGAAGAGAGGGGGAAGCAGCGCCGACACCTTTGCGCACGTGTTTGCGGTCCACTTTCTCTCCCCTCCCACACACACACACACTCACTCCTTCATCTCTCTTCTACAGCCTTTGCGTACTAAACTAATCTCATCTTCTTTCTTTTAAGTCTTATTACGAGTTACTTCCGTAGATGTCATTCACTTATTGCTAGATATCTCATTACATAATCTAGCTTCACGCGTGGGCAATGGGGTATATATTTTTCACACAATATTGACAAGAAAACTACAAACTTTTGTTTGGTATTCCCCTCGCTGTTCCCAGATATAAGCCACCATTAACACGTACTGTGTATACTGTCAAACAAATCTTGTGTTGTTCTTGTCAATATTGTTTGAAAAAATAAGTGGCCAAAACGTGAATTAAGATCTTTTGAAAATGCGCCCTCAATTCAATATAATGTTATTATTAAAACTACAACTGCAATTTAAAAAACGAATGTATTGGAAAAATCGTATTTGCTTCGCGGGAAATAAAACAATGCAGTAATGTCCGTAAGTTAAATTACAACACTTCTAATCTCATTCGTCCCGAACATTATCACAATATAATGTTTGTTACCAATCACTAAAGCACTTTCAAGTTACAATCAGATCTACCAGCTAAAAGTTTGCAGTTCGTCTTTTCTAGAAGTAACACTTCTCTTTAAAATTTTAGGTAGCAGAAGTTTTATAATTTATTTATTCCATATCCCCCCAAAAAAGATATAAATAACATGTTTGACACTTTTTAAAGAGACTGTTCTTTCGAGAAATAACAAAAAAGAAAAGGACAGTACACAACTCATATATAAGTTTGTTTCCTTCCCAATTTACTGGCCGTGTGCCCTTAATGAATAATAGGAAAACCATCGAATGTTGGAGGCTAAGCACTCTTTGTGTCGGCGCACCCCAGACCCGGCAAGGGCGCCTCCTCTGGGCACCGCCAGTGGCGCTGCAGTCGAGCAGCTTCTCTCCCCTTCCGCCCCCGCGTCGCGAATGAGTGTGCGGTGGGCGGTGACAGCGCGACTGCCCACGAGAGCGAGCTCTCCACAGAGGCCGCAGCAGCCAACAGTCGAGAGCACCAGCACTTCCGACCACAATTTGTACTAGTATACTAGGAAGAGCGAAGCAATATCCCATTTTGTCTCCTTTTGAACATTTCTCTTTCGATTATTTCAACATAAAGAGGTTCGAATTACCTCTCTCATTGCGTGTGAGATTAACAATGAATTTACAATCAAAGTCTTATGAAATTTGATTTCTCTAAGTTTATCTGCCCCAAATATGAACGTCTGAGTGCATCGTTTACATCGGTACACGAGATACGACATAAGTCAAGATTGTTTGGAAAAAGTACGTTCTCTGATTTTTTTTTTTTTTTTTTTTTTGCATTTTCCGAATCTCGAGTTATTCCAAACCCTCGCACACAATACTCTGAGAAGGGAACTCTCTAGCGAAAAGTGATTGGAAAGATTCAATCCACTGCAATTAAATGAATAAGAAATCTTTAATAAACAATAATTTGAAAAACATTTAAAAGCCATTAGGTTGTTCTGATAACTATGTAGGGTCAAAAAGAAAATGCGTTGTAGAAGAGCGACTCACTGCCCGAGCATCCTGTCAGCCTAGAGATAAACACACGACTCCGAAACTTCACTTTTCGGCCGAGGCCCACACAATTTCTGATTGTTCATTTGCTATATGATATTTTCACATTCGTGGCGATAGTTCCAGAAGTTAATGGTTTTAAAAATTATATCCTTAAACAAACAATACTTGCAGGAGTTGCCGTTTGCTGAATACCTCAAAATGTTAGTAACAAAGTCTACCCCGTTTCATTCCATTAAACATTCAAGAACATTACGGGTGAGTGGAGTGGGAGTAGTCTAGAAGAGAAGAAAATTTAACATTATTTAATAATATAGTAACATTCATTTTACTTTCATTTTAAATAAAATGCTTTGTGATATTTCGTGTTGAGATGAACATAGAAAAAAGCATTACCTTCGTATGACGTTATTTAGTTAAAGTTAGATCAATGGCATTGGAGAACATACAACTTTATGAATATAAATATTTTTGAAAACTTTAAATTCAAAGGTGAGCGATCTACAAATCATGCTATTAAATAACAAATTTTGTGATAAACTAGTGCCTTTCCGAAGTGCTTTTAGGGCAGTATTTGGACTGTTTTTTTAGGTGTTAGTGAGGTATAAAAGACACTGAACCGTTCCGATTTTCATACCTTGTTGAAATGACATAAAAGCATGCATGGACCCAGGAAACTACAAAAATGCGTACACAGAGCTTGTGAGGCCCTGCGTAATGCGCTATAGAAAAATGCACATAAATTAGTTTTTTTTTCTTTGTAACTTCATTTCTCAAAAATTTCAATAAAATGGGAAGGAAATGGTTATTTATTTAAATAACATTAACAGAGCCTTAAAAGGCCTATATATGTATTGATGTAATGGCGTATGGAATGAAATTTCAGGACCTACCCAAATTACGTCCGAGAATTTTTTTGCCAGCCATTAAAATGAAAGTAGGAAGGTAGATGAGAGATTACAAGAAGAGCAAGCTCTCAGCAATGCAACTTTGCAGAGAGAAAAGCAAAAATAAAAAAAAACTGTTAGAGCTTCGGAGATCCAGGGTTAAAAAAGAATATGTGAAGAGGAGAAGTGACTCACCTTGAGGGCGCAGAAGATGCAGGACTCCGCCATGCACGCGTGGCCGGACAGCTCCCGGAAGCTGCGCCGGAAGATGTCGAGGTGCCATAGCACCTGGAACACGCGCCAAACAGGTCTTGCTGTTAATACCCACTTATTTATATCAGCAGCTAAAATACATAACTTTTCACTATTTATGGCGTGTGGGTCAAATTTATATCCCCCTAAATACTTTCACTTTGTGACCCTGAGCCGTAGGGTCTTCAGATGAAGTCAGTTCATTTGTTACTTCAAGTGCAATTATAAGTAGACAGAATAGTGAGTTCAAGATCATTGTTTCGAACGGTCACGTAACGGAGAATTGTATTTTATAGAGAATCCAGCTAATACACGAGTTCAACGTATCTACTTATTTTTCAGACGACACCATACAAGTGATTTTTGTTCATATGGGCTGGATAAAAAATTTTATAGCGAGGAAAGCTTGGTGTACCACCTATTTCTCCACCTCTTCATGACAAACATGTAGCAGCATTTATGTAGCAATAGTTACGTTCAATGTTTGGATATGTAGGATTATGATTTTAGCGCAGCAATTTAAAGACGGAAACTGATAAACCTAAACTACGAAATTTATACTTTCGAGGGTTTCTTGTATGTGTTTGAGCAAGTATGATTCAATATGTAAACACGTAGAAACCCGCCAAGAACAGACTTCGCGTTCAGCCACAGGCGGCAACGGACCCGCGCCGATGCCCCTGTGCGAGGCAAGAGGCAACCCGCCCGGCTTGTCCCCCTCCCCCGCCACTGCGCACCGCTTGACGTAAGCGGAGTCCCCACAGCGCTCCACGGCCGCTTCGGGGCAGAAGACACGTTGGCTGCCACGTGAGACCATATGGTCTCACTGTTCACTGAAAAAACATTTCCCGTGGACCACATAAAAGTTTGCGTTTATTTTTAGGAAAAGCTATTGGTAACAATAAAATGCTTTTGAATTAATATTTTCAATTATTGACTCACAATTAATTGAATTATTTTTGCCCATCCCTAATTTGCAGGCAGCAATAGACTGACGTGCGAGGATCGACATAAGTGCACGGCGACAGTTATTCCGCTTTCGAGGTTTAGGAGGCGAAAGACTGACATATGCCATGAGCGAGTCGTGAGCCAATAGCCGCTTTTATTCAGTCATGGAATAATATAACAAGTCAATTTTCAATGAATTGTATCGTGAAATATCCTGCAATGCCTGGTTGTCAGTTCATATCAAGAAAAGGAAACGGTAATGGTGTCCGACCGCTACCATCACCCAGCCATATTCATTTCTACGAAGATCAACAACAGTCCATGTAATATCTTATTTTATATGACGGGTAAAAGGCATCCTCCAAGGCACATGAATACACTATTTTGTATGTAAAGACTACTTTAATAGATAGACTTACACACACATATATTACCTCCTTCTGCCCCTTCCCCCCCCCTCTCTCTCTCTCTCTTTCACCCACTCTCCCCCTACTCCCAACCGTGTCTCAATATAACTCTGTCAATACCCTTCTCGTGTCCTTGAAAATGCACGTCCACAGACTTATTATAACCTACTTTTCTAACCTTTTTTAGAAATATACGAAATTTTAAGATATTCCAAGCCATTTTTCAACCACCTTGATTGTTGTGGCTTCGATGTTTCCTGCATAACTTCATTCACTTGGAGGTGCTATGCAATTAAAAAATGAGTAATTGTTAAGTAATAACACTACAGAGAAAAAAATTCGCTATGCCGCGCATTCCCACTAGATTTTGTTTTGCTGGACGTGCTGTCACAGTATTGTGTGGCTCTCACTCAGGCAGAGAGTGCAACAGTAAACGCCCGGGGTGCGTGCGGCGAGCGTCGTCGCCAGTGCACGGCAGCGACTGGCTGACAATAAGCGTTTTGTGTTTGATAACAGGACATCACGTGTCCGCGAAAGTTCAAACAAGTGATGCTACAAATGGCACTGCCTTTCTCATATAGCTAATCAGTCTGGGTAATCTTTTCGGTTTGCCCCACCGTTTTATCAGCTGCTACCAATTGGCGCCTAAATGTCATTTCTTCCCGTTTTCTCAACTTTTCGGAGACCTAATAGTAGAATTGAAATGACTTTAAGAATATTATAAACGGGTAAAATCTGATCATATTCGCAAATTTGCATTGGAAAATTACGAGCGGTTTTTAAGACAATGTCGTTTGAACGTTTCTCAAAATGCGCATAATGCAAATACACTACTTTTTCACACAACATTCTACTTTTCGAGAAACTTTATAAGAAATGATTTTAAGCAATTCTACTCACAAATGAAATAATAGAAGGTAAAAACGTCCATAAAGTAAATATTAACGACATGAGAGTTATTTTAAAAATACATTCGAGCAATGTTTGAAAACAAATAAACAAAAGAATGCAACAAAATAGCGTTAATGTTAGTCATCTTATACAGTACATTTATTACACTGTGTGTAAAAAGTTTGAAGACAAAATTTAAAGCCGTTTTTGAGAAAATCTTGTTTTTAATATATTTTTTAATTGTCCATATTTCACCCAAATTTACTCGAAAATCATTCAAATTTTCAGAAAAATATACATGTCATTCACTAAAGAACTAAGTGTAAAAAAAATCATTTAAAGAAAAAATCGCTAACTTCAATATTATAGTTTCAGGATGAGACCGAAAACAAGGAAAGATGTTATTTTTCTAATTTCCAGGATAACTGTGAAAATCGGGTCTGTCATTTTATAAGTGGATTTCACTATATTCTTACAAGAAATATAAAGAACAAAATTGGAAACACTTTTTAGAAAATTTCGAAAATGGTCCAGATGTTTTAAGTGTCTCGAAAATTTAAAGAATGTTTTTCAAAATCGCGAGCTTCGAGTTGAAACACATTCGTCGAATATTAATTTTGGAAAAATCATTTAATTCTTTAGGCATTATTTATTCGCAATAAGACTCACGGGAGGATTTGTTTTGAAAACAAATTCGGTTTTCAAAAACTTTTTTGGAAATATATTTTCCGCATTACATAACGTTCTCTACACTTCGTAATAATATATGTTTACAAGAAGAAAAATGATCAGTCGACTGACATTCTACTCATATTCAGTACATCTGTAAGCAATTAGATGAAGCAAAAAAAGTGAATGGCTCGATTGAAATAATAACAATGATAATAAAATAAATAATAATAATAACAATAAAAAACTACTGCACAAGCAAATGCAACAATCTCAAAAAACGAGTGTATCACTAAAGAAGTTTCCCTAATACGCGCCATAGCAGAGCTACAGCCGCACGCCGACAACAGCGCATCCGTCGCCATTTTATACACCTACACGGCGCCTCCGGAACCAAAACAAAAGATGCTCACCTTGGTGATCTGGAAGAGCGCTTGCTTGCGGTGTCGGTGCTTCTCCTTCATCTTGGCGTTCGAAGTATCAGCACATAGTTCATAAACACGTCAACACTTTGGGGTTGCAATCGCTAGTCGCGTCACAGACAGCACTCACAGACACTTCCTCCCACAGCAAACGCCAAGGAAGGGCCTCCCGCGACAACAAACACAGGTGAGGCCCCGCTAGCGCTCCGCGCGGCTACCGCCCGTACTACAATACTATAGCCAGGTAGGACTTTTTACTATAGCCAATGAGAGGGCTCCGCGCGCCTTTCGCTTCGCCGGCGCTGGAGGAGGAGGAGGAGGAGGCAGGGGCGGCGGCGGCGGCGGCGGCGGCGTCTTCGCCTTTTTTTCCTCTTTTTTGTGACCCCGCTGCCCCGCCGCCGACGAAAAGCGTCTTCGTTTATGCAACTCCTGACGTCACGACTTGTATCACAGAGTATACGATGTATTGGTTTCCTCTCGTGGACGTAGTAAACACAACACCAATATAAAAAATAGAAATGTTTGTTATCTTCCTTTTAAAACACTGTTAATAATAAAGAAAACTTACTATTCTTTATTTTATTTCCTTTCTTTATCTCTTTCTCACATGCATTAGTGAAAAAAAAATAGTTTAGGTAAACTTGACAACAACGAAAACGCAAAAATAGTATGCATTGCCAATGTTGGAACCTTCAAACAAAGGTGTGTCATTCTTATTTTAGCTCACAAAAATATATGAAGCCTTCCATACAGTCAGTATAATATCAACAAGTAACACAATCGTCGTTTTTTGTCCGGATATTCTAATTAATTATTCTAGAAAATGCAGGGATGTTCTTTATTTTGCTTGCGGTCCCAAAATATAAATTCCCCCTCCCTCTACATACTTTATATACTGTACGGCCTATCATGTTGTATTACTAACGTAAAATGATTTTAAAATATCGTCAATTCTACGTCAATAGTTATTATAATTATATGTTTCACTAATAGTTTTGTTTAGCAAATAACATTTATGTATTTGGTAGAAATAACACAATTGCGATAAACGAAGAAAAATTATTCTTGAGAAATAGTACATGAATATACTAGTATTTCAGATTATAACAACATTGTTTTTTATGTACCAAAGGCATTATATTCGTAAGGGTTCTTCTTGAGAGGTGGCAAAAAGTCCGAGGAGCTTTGGCCCGACGACTTTTAGTCTACTCTGCACTCGTTAACGTTAGCACTAAACGATTTTATTTTTTGCGTAATTTTAATATTTACTTATTTACAAACTAACTAGATGTTAATTTGACTTGGATTACCTTTTCATAATTCCCTCCCTAAGAGAATATTTAGGAACTATTCAACATGTGCATGCGGGAGCCAACTGTTTTTATATTTCCTCGTAACCACGATCCTATGTTTCCAGGTCAGTTATGCAGTGTATGTTGATATGTACTCCATATCGAAGGCAATAATAAGCAATAAGGAATCAGTAAAAAAAAATAATTTTACTCAGAGAACTGGATTGTTTACAACGTTGTAACTCAAAAGGTTTTTGCAACAAACGAAATGATATTTACAATTAGGATTCGATTACTCTTTTAATTATTTTCAATGTGTTCCTCCAGTAGACATTAAGGTCTTTTACGGTAATATTGTCCTCGCAAAGACAATCGCAAAATTTGCATAAAACATGAATTTGTTTATA